ATTATTATTTTTTTTTTATCATTTTTCACTTCATGCTAACTAAACACATGAAAATTTTTTTAAAAAATTATCTTTCTTACATTTTTTATTATTATCCCTCTAAACAAACAAACCATAAGTGAATTGTGCAAATGTCTAGGGACATGGAGAGGTAAATTGTGTAGAAACTCCTAAGTTTTTCAACTATCTTCTTCTCATATTTTAGGTGCAATGAAGAGAAATTAAATATGATTAATCTGTGAAAACAAGGAAAAAGAAGGTAACATGAACACTTGAGAGATCGCTTAAAATCAAATTGAAGAACTTTTTATAGTTTTGCTAACTGTACAAAACATATGAGCTAGAGTTCTCTCTAATAGTCCTCACGGGATTCAGAAAATAAAATTCTTTCTTTAATTTAAATACCTCAAAAGGGCCTATAATACCTATAACTATACGATAATCGGTTCATAATAGAAATCTAGATATCCGTGAGTTTGAAAAATAATACAAGTTTGAGTTTGTATGGATCAATTTTACTGGGGGTGACTTGGAGAATAATTCAATACCAATAACAAAGAATCTTGGAAGATAATGGTCATATGACAAGTGATTAGTTATTTATCATATGAAACATCTTATGTAGTTTTTATTTCAATGAGGTTATTAATGTCATTTAATTTGCAAATTGAGGTAGTTGAGCGGGGCTTTTATCCAAAATATTTTATCCCTTCAAGTTCTCGACTGCATAATAAACAAAGTTTTCAAGTAATTGGATCCCATGTCATAGATGCACTCCCATCCCATGCCCTAAAGACCTATATATATATTTCTCCAAAAACATATAAAAAAAATTAAATGGCAGTCTTGAAAATAAAGTCCAACATCAAGGATGATGAAGTCTGAAGTGGGAAGAAACGTGGGCCGGTTGAGATTTAGTTAAACCGGAGCCTCAAACATTGACAATTGAAGAAGGAAGGCTGATTTCGTGGGGGGAAGGGAAACTCCCATTTGACAAGTATATGAAATCGAAGGAATCAATTTGAAAAAGAAAAAGAAAAAAAAAAACTAGAGAGAGAGAGAGAGAGAGAGAGAATTATATATAAGGAGAAGATGAGATTCCCACAAGCAAATGCTTTCTCTTTCCCCCACTTGTGTATAGTATGAAAAGAAAAGTTGTCTTTCGTAAGCCAAATTGCGGCTGTGATTTTGTCCCTTCACTCTCTTTCTCTCTCTTTATCTATCTTTATATCTTTGGTTGGGAGTCAAAGGAGGTTGCGTGTGGGTGTAGAAGATGGTTTCAAGGAGCAAGAGAGAAACGTCAAAGGCTGCAATTATTGTGTTTTGAGTAAAAAATGATTCCCACCCCAACATTTCTATGTTTCTTATTATCTATCTAAAGTCTCTCTCTCTCTCTCTCTCTCTCTCTCTCTCTCCTGGCTTTTTAGTTTGGTTTTGGGGTTTTCTTCTCTATTAACTCTTATTATCTTTTGTGAGTTTTGGGTTTTAATAAAGTTGGTTTAACCTTTTTTCGGTTGCCCTCCTTAGAAGCATTTGACTACTATGAGAGTTGACACTATCTTCTCACATGTTCACACATGAAAAGAGTTACACATGAGACATTTAATTCGAAGCTGAAGAAAACAAATGAAAGTCACATAATTAGGTGATAATCATAAAGGATAGAAATGAGTTTTCGTATGTAGGTAGTGGAAACATAATGGTTAGTATTTTTCCATAATTTAAAAGGGCTGCTTTTCATTATTTTAATTATAGTAGTAGTGCTCAAAATTCAAACATCCTCTAATTGTTTAGGCCACATATAAATAATGAACTCAAGCGGGACATGAACAGTGGGCAAAGATTTCCTTCAGGTAATCATGAAGTGAAAAGAGATGCACAAAGAGAAAGGAACAATCATGTTGAAGAACAATGAAGTTCCTTAAGTCAATCATACATTATATATAATGCTTTTCTTTCTTGTTTTTTCTAAACTCTCAAGCCATGATACTTTGCAAGGCCAATCTTTATCGATTTCTTGATCAAATTTCGTGTTTGGGTCCCCTGTTTCTCCTACACTGATGTAATGAAATTTTTACTTGCGAAAAGAATAAAATCTCGAATGACGTCCATTTATTGCAAAAGATATAATTTTGTATTGTGAGTTGGACTTCCTTTTCGTAAAACTCGATGACAAACAAATGAATGTTATTGGGACATAATTTAGAAATTAACCTAATGCATTGTGTCTTTTGGATTAATTGTCGATCTCAACATTTAATGAAGTTCATTATTAATCCAATAGTTACAATGTATTAAGTCCTCTAAAATCAAAAAAAAATTGAATCCAGACCACTAGTATAGTGTATAAATAATTTGTTTATATATAATTAATTACGCATATGATTAAGCTTAGTGGAAGAGAGAAAACTCAAATAAGAAAAATATCCAAATACAAACTCTAAATAAAATTTATTTAAAAAAGTATTCATAAAAAGCAAAAAAAAAAACATGAAAACACTTGATAGAAGTGCTCTACAAACCGTATCTAAACTGGTGGCAAGATTCAAGTATTTGATCTGTACATGATTAATAATAAAATGAGTACAAAAATAAATTCTAGAACAATGGTGGCGCACTTCAAAAGTCACCATGAATTTCAAAGTTGTCCAACTTATTCTTTAATAAGAATAAATATGTTTTCAAAGCAATAGATTATACATTGATTTACAGAATGTCAAAGCAACCCTAAATTTTTTGTTTGTTTCATTTTAAAGCTAGTTAATTAATTTGTCTACTCCTAAACGCAAAACACGAGAGTTTCAATAAGAATTATTGGTGCTTCGAACAAATCTAGGGATCCAAGAGGAAAAGGATGTGTAGCTGCCTTTCTTCAATTATGGGTAACCCATAGTTTTGTGTATATATATGTGCATATTATAGCACAAGTAAAATTCGATGAAGACAATATATAGATAGAGTAGTAGCGTAAGTAATCATCAGAGCTCTCTCTCTCTCTCTCTCTCTCTCTCTCTCTCTCTCATACACAATATTACTTCTCCTACGTAAGCTTGAATCAGACCCTTGACCGCAACGATGCGACACCAAGTTCCATTCATCAGTTTTGCTAATATTTTTGTTGGTCGGGGGTCTGCAATTCAAAGGCAATTTTAAAGAACCCAGAAAAGATTTGCAGTTGTATAGATAGTACTCTTAAGTTTCTTCTATTACTCTTTTTTCGCTTTCTTTCCTTTCGTATTTATTTATCAGAGGCTATGTGTGTTGGACAAAGCAGATCTTGAAGCGAATCACTTTCAATGTTTTTATCAGAAGCATGGCCTAGCATTACACGTTTATTACATTAAACTTTTTAGCTTTCTTAAGGAGGTGGGTTATTTTTAATTTTTTAAAAGTATACATGTTCTACTCTGTAAGCTCGATGCGAGAATGGATCTTAATCCAGCGATAATGATGTTTTGTAGGGAGCATGACGGGTTAAGATCAATTTGTGTATAGCGAAGAACAAGTATGCATGTTGTTATTCAATTATTCTCGCACTCTATGTTCAGTCGTAGAGCTTTGAAATTTCAAAAGTATCGTCAAACAAAAAATAATTCTTTAAGAATATTCAACGTAATAGTTTCATTGAAATTAAATAATAATCATTGATTCAATGTAATAGGATATACAGGTGGGAAGGGGTGACAGACAATTCAATTTTAGAGTACTACTATTTCGTGTAGGAATGCCTAACCACCTGCGTGCACCGTTTTAGGAACTTAGAGAGCCATGAACACCCCGGGGTCTGAACGAGGTTACTTTGTTAAAAAAAAAAAACGTATTGGATCATTTCATGTAAAGTAGAAACTAGGCAATCACAAGCAGTACTAGTCTACTCATCCAATAGATGTGCCATTGAAACCATGAGTCTTGAATCCTTAGTATGTGAGAATGTCTTGTTGAAATTATGCTTGCACGTAAAGTAAATGAAATACGCATAGCCGTACATAAAAAAAAGGAAAAAGGAAAAAGAAAAGATAGTTTATATACATGTAGTCATAGTTGTTGCAATAGCTAAAGAAAGAGAAAGGACGTTTGTTTCGTACTTTGGAATGCGATGCCACGGCTTTAGAGAAACTTCCTGTAAAAGTGACGGCATATGACAACAAAGAATGGCGTATCCGGGCGTGCGAACAAGCCAAGCAGCTACCCCCACTTGGTATAATCACATCAAAGCGGGGAATGTCTGCTGCCTCTTTCTTTGAAACTTGCTGCCTCATTATTATTTCCCTTTTGAAAGCAAATCAGCTCGTTATTTTATCCTTAAATGGATAGATCTTTTTCTTTCCGTATAAACAAACTTGTGGTAGAATAGAAATTGGGAAAGATTCCAGGATGGCTAGTTTATAGATATTGTGGTGGATTTGTATTTATGATAGAAGTGAAGTGAAGAAGGGACCTTGGTATGCTATGAATGAACTCTTCATCAATTCTGTTCAAACTTTTTTAAGTTAGTTTGAGTTCCGACCCTGTGTATTAGATCTATTTTGTTAGATCCTTGCATCTCCCCCCGCACACGAACATTGTAAATTTGCAAATTGAAATGCTACGAGTACAAGTTATTTAAATCAAAAATATGCGTAGCTGCAGCCACGACCAGCAGTATAGGATTGGAAAGATAAAGCTTTTGTGTATTGGTTGCAGGCCCAAAACTAAAACTATAGGCATTCCCTGGGCTGCCAGAAGCAAGTGCATGCCAGAATCCCTTTTTAGGCAAGTTCCTACCAGAATTCTGAGGCCTCTACTTATGCATCAAGTTTCCAGGGTGAGAGCCATTGAAGCCCATTCTTTCCTCTTTTTTTTAGCCACGCAACCAAGGGAACAAAAGATCAAATACAAAGAAGAAAAGTGACATCAAGTAGTTTACACGAGGAAAAGGGTGGTCAATCCTATGGAGGTTTTTTTGAAGTGAACAAATAGAGAGTAAATCACTAAGGAGTTATATATTTTTCGTATGCTTGTCACTTATTATATAACATGCGACAAAAATTTGAGGCAGCCACCAATTCTGGTATGAGCTTAAAAAATTTGTTGAAATTTGAGACCGCATCTGTGATCTCTCCAACTAAGTCAACAATTAATCCATCCTCAACACCCTTCAATTCTTGCAGGTATACCACCTCTGGCAAAAGTGAACCCCATGAGAAGGTGGCTTCACTTTTGCTCATGAAATCTTGCCTAATCCTGCAAATTTACTTATTGAACTATGTAAAACTAGAAGAGATCTATTGCAAGCAGTTCTGCAATTCCATGGTGAATTGGGGCACATCTGAAACATACATTATTGAGTTGAGTCGAGGAGTAAAATCTCTAACGAAATACCTGAACAACAGGGGCATAGTAAGACCAAGGCTAATAATGAAAGGTCATGTGCCATGAAAAATGGCTTGGGCTAAAGCCATTTACCACAAGGGTTTGCATTCTTCAAAGTTGCTTGTAGATTGTACTAATCACAAGGAATGTGCCATCCCAATATTGTTCCTAACAGAGAACTAAAGGTGTTACTTCATAGGTCATGGTTGTTACAATTGAATTCACAGACTACAACCTTAATCCAGAACATGTTACAACGAAGCATTTCCGTTTCACTCTCTAACCTTCTAACCTTGGAACCTTAGATTTGAGACCTTGGAACTTAGAAGCTAAAATGTTGTCTTCATTCTCCGATCTCCTGCTATCATTGAAATAAGATATCACTAGACCATATCTAAAGATGCCAGAATTCTCTGCTATGGCATGACTTGTTCGTGCATGGTGAACAGTGTTCCTATTAACAATGTTTCTCTTCTTCATAAATATTGTTTTACCATTATCCATCCACAAACATAGGCCTATTGAATTGATTCATGTTCCACTTCAATCATCTACAACATTTGATAGAGGGCATAATACTCATTGCCAATTGAGATACAGTAACCTGTGTTCCCAATAGGAGGATAAAATACTTGCCATTCCAGTATTATTTCAAGGTGGGCAAGCTGAAAGAGTTTATAGTGCAGAAAGGGTCAGACATACCACTATCACAGCTTGGAAAAAACAGGTTTTCTCTTCTGGCTTTGGGCTGATATTACCTCTGTCAAATCATCAGATAGAAGCATGGCAGAGTTCCATGTAGCAACATAATCTATAGCTTGATCCACGGTAAGGTCCCTGCTTTTTAGCAATACTGCCTTTGTCCCAGTGACAGCAAGAGGAGATTTTACAGCAATTTCTGCCCAACCAGAAACAACAGTCTGAATTAGGGGGCAAACAGTCTTGAGTAAGTTAGCTTCATTTGGTTACAGCCCAATCTATAGCCAGCTCTCATTTTATTAACCAGTAATCAACTCATCTGAGTGTTAACATTGAACAAGCTGTCCCTAGGTAAAGTTTCATCTGGAATTGAGTAATTTGCCAACAAAAGAGATCTGACTACTTCATGAGTTAATTGCTGTGTGTGTACTATACAACTGGCTCTCGAATATATATCTATATAATATGGGACAAGGGATTTCAAATTCCCCTCAAACATAAGTCCATCTTTTGTATTTCGCAGTTGAAATCATCTAAAAGTTTTCTCACTAATGATCAAACGGATAAAATTACATATTGCAAATCCACTGTCCCACCCAAAACTTTCCTTAACCAAATCTTTCTCTCACGCATTTCTAGTCTATCAGGCCCCAAGTCACGCCCCTTTCTCTCTCGCCGTATTTTCTCTCACCCATCTCTCTCATCACTCTCTTCTCCACGTCTCTCTCTTCCCTGCCACCAGTCCACCATCAACGTCCGCCAGTTCTCCATTGCCGGCAGCAACCCTCCAGCACCCAGCAACGTCAGCAAGCCCCAACGAAGGCCTCTCTCTCTCACTCGCCCATCCTTCACCACCAAACCCCACCCCACAGCCCCTACACCCCCTTCCTCTCCCTCTTTCTCTCTCCTTCGTTCTCTCAAACCCTTTCTGTGTCTCTTACTCGGCCATCCTCCACCATCGAACCCCACCCCACAACCCCACCCCCAACCCAAAAAGACTCAAATTATATCTTATCATAAATGAATGTGGTGTATTTTGTGGATTTTCTAGGGATCCAAATCTCCTTAATTTCGAATTTTATATTGTTCCAGTTTAATCATTCGTGATTGAATATTGGACCTTATTAGACTTGTAAATATTCCAGTAGCACCCAATGCAACCAACTGAACTTAACGGTGAATAATGGAAATTGACTTAGTCTAAATTGAGTGGGTCCAAATCCAATGTGCTTAGACATCGTACAAATTCTACCCCAAGCAACTCGAGCGACACCGTTAAAGCCCTATCTCTCCCTCTTTCTATCTCCACTCTCTCAATCCCTGAAACTTCTCTACATGTTTTAAAGCCAAAAAGAGGAATTTAGGTCCCTACTAGTTTGCATCTTAAAAAAGTATCCAAAAACTATTTTTAGAAAGAGTTGTAGAAAAGTGTTTAGGGATTTTTTGTGTGGCATAACTTGTTTGGTTATATGATTCCAAAAACAGTTTTATGAATTTGAAAATAGTCAAATTTGTTTGGACAGTAACATAGAAAACAATGAAAATATAAATGTGGTGGTAGTGGTGGTAGTGGTGGACATGGTGTTGGTGTTGGTGGTGTTTTTTAAATTTTAGAAAGGTTGTTTCCAAAAACCCATAACACGGTATTAACTTGTTCTCTAAATCTACCCACTTTTTATTCTCAATTTTAAAAAATAAAAACAAAAAACAACTGGTTAAACAGCTTTTCTCTCAGAAACTTTTCGAAAACGTAAAAACAATTTATAAAATGCAAACCAAACAGGGCCTTATTTTTTGCTTTTCAATTGTTGCCCTCAATCAATACTCCCTTGGTACCAGCAATTGCATAGATGTATGTGCGCACTTAGCTTCGAAGCCCAAGCATACGACAAGTCAAGAACTATAAGCAAAATGGTCATTTAGGTTTGTATTCAGATTTATGATTTTTCTTTCATATTTTGTTGAGGCTTAAGGCATTACTTTGCATTTTTTCCAACAATTTTGGTGGCAGAACCCAGAGGTATTGATTTTCTAATCCTCATCTCCCAAATGTATTCTAATTAATGTTTCTCTTGGATTCTTGGACCTTATTCTTTTTCCAAGGCTTTAAATTATAATTACAGTTTCTTGATGAATTGGCTGAACCAAGTTCTTTTGTCCATTTGTTAAGTCTCAAAATTGGGTTTTTACATTATGATGTGGATTTGGATGCACTATGTCATCTTCCAAATAAGTCATGTGATTAATTATGAATGCGTCTATCTGTGTTCTTTTAATTAATTTTTGTCTTCATAATTAGAGTGTTTGGATTTTTCATTTAAAAAAACTTTGCTATTCATCAGGTTTATTAGGCTAGAGAATGTTCCAATTCAGTATGGTGGACTAAGTCGACCTAGTGATTTGCAAAACAGTCCACCAAAACCAGGTTCTGAGTTCAAGAGTGTAAAGAATATTAGGGTAGTATGTATAAATTGTTAATAGTAAGAGGGTGTATGTGTAATTCTTATTATTGTGAGTTAACTATAAATACAAGTGATGTATAAGAGCTAGGTTCAATTTTTAACCTCTCTTTCTCTCTAATATTGTCTCTAGTATTGTGTTATGTTAATTCACTCAACTTAACATGGTATTAGAGCTAAACCAATACAAATTTTAACTATTCTAGTTCACGGATGTGTGAATATTGTCATTGTGATTACTGTTGGAGTTCGTGGTGGTGTTGTGCTGTCCATTGTGGTCATGTCTGGTGGTGGTAGTGGTAGTCGACTGGTGTGGTCGACATTACTATTCATCGAGTTTTGCTTTGGTGGTGTAGTCGACTGTGGTTGACATTGCTGTTCATCGAGTTTTGCTTTGGTGGTGTAGTCGACTGGTTCTACTTGGTGGGGGCTTCTGGTTTTGCTTCAGTGGTGGTGGTTGTTCTTGCCATTAGGATTGGTGTGGCTACTGTGTGTTGGCTGTCGACTGGTGTTTGGTGGTTCTTGATATTGAAGGAGCATCTGGGTTTGCTCTTTGGAGAAGAAAACGATCGAGTCCAAATCCATACCCAGATTCGGATCCAGACTTAGATCCAGTAGCCTCATACCAAACCGGCTCAAGTCCGATTTAGGCAGGATTCAAGAAGTTTAGACCGGTTCAGTCAATTTTTAGACTAGTTCAATCAGTTTTAGGCCGGTTCAGGTACGGTTCAGTCAATTTAAGATCGGTTCAGGCAAGATCCATTTGTTTTGTCTCCAGTTCAACGGTCCAAAGGCCTTTTCTGGTCCGATTCAGTGATCCAATAGCCTTTTCTGGTCCAATTCAGCGGTCCAATGGACTTCTTTGGACCGATTCAGTGGTCCAGTGGGCTTCTCTGGTCCAGTTCAGCGTCCAGTTGGGTTCTCCAACCCGGTTTGGTGATCCAGCAATCTTTTCTTCTTCGGTTCAGCAGTGCAGTAGGTGATTCTTGTCCGATTCAGTGATCTAATGATTTTCTTTTTCTATTTGCTTCACTTATGGAACCCAAGCAAGACACTAGGTTGGTTACTATTACACGAGAGGAATATGCCCAATTCCTGTCCTAGCAACAGGCTATCCCATCTCCCTCCACTGCTACTTTTGCCCAGTCAGGTATTACTTCCACTTGTTTATTGTCCTCTACTCGTAATCCCTGGATCATAGACTCTGGCGCTTCTAACCACATGACTGGTGCGTCTAATGTTTTTTTTACTTATCAGTCTGCTACTTCCTACTTCCACACGTAGTATTACTCTTACTAATGGTACTTGTTCTAAAGTTTCAGATATGAAAACTACTCACTTGAGTCATAATATATCCTTATCTTCCGTGTTATTTGTTCATCAGTTTTCTTTTAGTTTACTTTCTATTAGTAAGATTACTCGTTCTCTCAATTGTTCTGTAACTATTTATCCTTCTTATTGTGTCTTTCAGGAGCTCAAGACGAAGAGGAAGATTGATACGGAAAATGAAGCAGGTGGCCTATATTACTTTGATTTTGACTTACCTACTCGAGCTGTACAAACTTCATTGTCTCCTTTTCAATGACATTGTCGTCTTGGACATCCCTCTCTCCAGAATTTAAAGCGCCAAATTCCCAATCTTAATTGTGTGTCATCTTTGTCTTATGAAGCTTGTCAACATAGTAAGCATCATCGTGTATCATTTCAGTCTAGAGTCAATAATCGTGTGTCTAGTCCATTTGAGTTGGTACATTCTGATGTATAGTGTCCAATAAAGAATATTTCATCTAATAAATATCCTTATTTTGTGTCATTTGTGAATGACTATTCTCGTGTGACTTAGTTATTTTTGATGAAAGCTCGATCTGAATTATTCTCTATGTTTGAGACCTTTCGTAAGGAAATAAAAACTCATTATGGTTGTCGTATACGTATTTTATGTTCTGATAATACTCGAGAATATGGATCTGATCCTTTTTTAACTTATCTTAGTAAAACTGGTATTATTCATCAGACTTCCTGTGCTTACACATCTCCATAGAACGGTGTTGCTGAACACAAGAACCGTAATTTGTTGGAAGTCACCTGTGCCCTGTTATTTCAGATGAATATTTTTCGATATTTTTGGAGTGATGCTGTTTTTACTGCTTATCACCTTATTAATCGTATGTCATTCTCTGTGTTAAATGGGCAAAATCTATATTCTGTCTTTTTTCCTTATAAGCCTTTATTTTTCTTAACTCCTAAGATTTTTGGATATTTTTGTTATGTTCACAATTTGGACATTGGGTTTAATAAACTTGACCCTCGAGCTATCAAATGTGTATTTCTTGGTTATTCTCGCACACAAAAAAGGTATCATTGCTACAGTCCTTCTTTGCGACGATACTTTACTAGTGTCGATGTCACATTTGAGAAATTTGTTCCATATTTTCTAGCACTTTCTCAACCTTTGGATCTGGACTTTGGGTCATCTCTTGTACACCATCTCTTCCCTCATCTTCGAATATTCCATTGCCCACTATGTTATCATGTATTTTACCTCTTCGTGTATACTCTCGTCGTCCTTAACCATTGACTGAGGTGCCTGTACCGTCTTCCTTGCTGCCTTCTGATCCTAGTCCATCAGATAATTTAGACTCTTTACCTATTGCTCTTCGAAAAGGTACTCGTTCGTGTGTTACTAATCATCTCATTGCTCATTTTGTTTCATATGATATCTTGTCCCATGTCTTCTCTTGTTTTACCTCTCAATTATCTATTATATCTATTCCTAAGCATTTATAGGATGCATTATTTGATCCGGGTCGGAGGAAAGCTATGGAGGATGGGATGTATGCCTTACATCATAATGGGACTTGGAATCTCGTACCTTTACCTCCTGATAAACGAACTGTTAGTTGTCATTGGGTGTATACTGTTAAATTTCATCCAAATGATTCTGTAGAGCGTCTCAAAGCCCGGCTTGTAGCAAAAGGCTTTACTCAGACCTATGGTATTGATTATGAAAAAACTTTCTCTCCTGTTGCCAAAATTTCTGTTGGTATCTTAATTTCTTTGGCTGCTAATCTTGATTGGCCCTTATTTCAGTTAGACGTCAAAAATGCCTTCCTACATGATGACTTGGATGAAGAGGTATACCTGGAGCAGCCACCTGGACTTACTGCTCAGGGG